GTATTGGGATGTTCAGGAATATGTGGTTCTCAGGGGGAGGGGTCGAGTAAACAAGGTTGCTTGTCCGACCCACCCCCTGTAGCCCAGAAATTTCAATTCGGCTCCACAGGAAGTTGTGGATTATACAATCAGTTGCCAGCAGCCCAGAAGCTGGACGACTGGACGAGATATGTTGAGAGATCGTCCTTGCCAAAACTTATAGCTCTTCCAGAGTATAGCTCGACGTCCAAAAAGTTATGGGTTCAGGTTCAGCTCGTGGAGGCAGAGCATTTTCTGTTTGTTTTTTTTTTCTACATACGGTGGGTCATCGGTCCGAAAGTTTCTTGCCTGGCAGTCTGTCCAGATGCATGTAGTGTAGTGGAGCGAGGTCCATTCTTGGGATTGCACCTCGGACAGCATTGTTCCTCTCACTCCATGAGCCGCAACCCAAACCCATAATGTTTTCCCACAGCATAGGGACGTTGCAGAAGCATATAATCTTAGCAAAGCCACCTTTCAGGCGTATTCTTTCGCTTATGGCTTCGAGCGGGCGTGCATCAGAACGTGCCATTTACATATGGTCTGTGGTCCACTCGATTGAACGATGCGAAATTGGAAAACGGGGCCTTTTGGACTTCGCATCTTGAAAAGAGAATGCAGCGACTTTTCTCCGCTGGTCTGTGAAGGTCAGCAGCGGAGAGCGTTCTTTTCAAGAAGTGGGCTCCAAAAGGCCCCATTTTTTTTCTTCTTGTAGGGAGGCATTTGCCTCCTGTGGCCTGGGCAATCGCAGGGGTGCCGTTTACTCCCCAGGACCCCCCCCCCCCTCCCTACCCCCAAGCGTGCTGCGCTGGGTTCGACTGGTGGTCTGCCGGGCTGGTCGACCGGCTGGTCCGAACTGCAGGCTCCCAGTTGGGGGAGCGGCCCCCGGTCCAACCGGGGACCAGGCCTGTAATGTATTGGTTTGTGATCCAGTCCACTAATGTAAGGTAACCTCCCTGTTCCTGTCGAATGCAGCGTTCCTACCAGACGTGAAGAAACTTGAAATGGGCATGTGCTGACTTTGATTTCTTGTATAGTCTGTAAATTGCCTTTGCTCTGGATAATGCACTTGGAACCAGGGCTGGTCCCCGGATGGGCCGGGGACCCCTACCCCATCCGTGGTCCTCCTGGTTGGACTGGCCGGTGGCCCAGGCCGGTTCCCTCCTGGTTGCCCCCAGTGCATTTTCGCTGGGGCCTGATTTTTTTTTTTGCCGGCGCGTATGTGTTCCCGAGGCCTCGTGGGGGTGGGCCCTGCCCTGCCCTGCAATTTCAAAATCGGGTTCTGTAGGCCCGAATTTTTCAAGTCCAAAAAGTGGCCAATCTTGGCCGCCGATCGTCGCAGATCAGCGGCAAAGATCGGCCAGGACCCCATTTCTTAAGAAAAACGGGCAGAGGATATCCGCCGCTCATCTTTGCAGATCAGCAGCGGAGAACGGCAACTTATTTTTTCTTAAGATGTGGGTTGGGTAGGCCCCTTCTCCAATTTGTCAGCTTGTGGTCCAACGGACCAGTTACCATTGGCAACATCTGATGATCTTTCACCCTCAGCCACGAGGGGAACACTATGCTTGTGATGAGGCTCTGCTGAGATTATATCCTTCTGCAACGTCCCTGCCATCTGTGGAAGAAGTTATGGGTTCGGATTTTGGAATCGTGATGTCAGAGCCGTCCGAGGTGCAAGCCCTAAGCTATATTCTTCTCTCTATCTATCTCGAATGGACCTTGCTCCACTACATGTATCTGGACAGCCTACCAGGCAAGATACTTCCGGACTGATAACTCACCTTATGTAGAAACCAACAAACAGAAAATGCTCTGCCTCCACGAGCTGAAAGCTGGAACCATAGCCCTTCTGCTGTCGAGTTATACTCTGGAAGAGCTATAACTTCTGGCAAGGACCTCCTCTCATCGTATCTGGTTCAGCTCGTGGGGTATCAATACCAAATGACACTCCATGAAGTGCTCCAGCCATGGGGGGTCAGATAAGTGAACTGGCTTACTTGACCCCTCCCCGTGGAAGCCATAGTTGCCTGAATATGTCAATTATAACCCCCTGCCCCCCTCTGGAAGCCCCCTGAAAAAATTGCACCTTGCAAATTTTATTGCGGATTCTGACAGCTCTTGAAGAACGCAGTCGGAATCTGCCAAAAAAAAAAAAAAAAAAGATGTTTCGGCACTTTTTTTCAAAACCAGTTTCCCGGTTCATCCCCCCTGGGCTGGTGCGGCTCCGGTTGGACCGGGGAAGCTCAACCGGCCGGTTGCTGGCCCAGCACTGCTCGGAACGGGTCTACCATTTCTCTTTCATGTGTGTAATTTGTGTAATTCTTCTTCTTCGTTCATTCTTTTTATTACGAGAGCTGGGGAGAAGACATTGGTTCAGTTTGTGTAGTTCTTCTTCTTTCATTCTTTTCATTTTGTTTCACTTTTTGTCTCTCTCCAATTCTTCTTTTGAGCTTCAGGAAGCCTTCCATGATCTCCCAGCTTTAGCTTTGCATTTATAGTGTGGAAGGATCTTAACAACAACGACGGCGATGACAAACTGGAAGAAGAAGAAGCAGAAGAAGAAAATTCCTCTCTCTCTCTCTCACTCTAACCGCATACTGATGAGCAAAATATGAAATCTTGAGCTGTCCTGTGCTGCAGGTGGAAGGTCGGCTGAGGTCGTAAGTTTCCTTTTTTCTCTGAGTTCTCGATTGCACTGACAATGAAGTATTTGCAGTCCTGTTTGTGATGGGCTTAATATTCCTCTGCTTGTAATGATTTTCTGATTCCTTCCTCCCTCTTTTTGTTTGTGTTTTTTACAGGCTTGTGGATACTACTGGGAAGCCTTGTATATGGGGTGCTGCTGATTCCAGTCAATTACACCGACAGCAACTACGAGGATGCAAAGCCGGTTGGAAACAAGACTGTTGAATATAATAACCTGGACAAACTTACAATGGGAAATATCAAGGTCAGCCTTTTGCACCAATCACCACATAAAAAATCGGCCTGTCTCCATGCTCCCATGTTGCCCAACAGTTCTATACATTTGCTGCAACTAATGGAGTCTATTTAATGCTATTTTGTTTAAAAGTTCCAGTAGAAAAAATGACCTGAAACTCTTTGCTTTCTGTGCTCACCTCTTCCTCCACATGTGAATTCCTTTCAATGCTTTTTCTGTCTACATTTGGATAACTGCTGTCCCTTTCTCCAACAAATGCAACTTCAAATATATATATATATATATATATATATATATATATGAAACTCCGACGAAACAGTTTGTCACAGCCCCTCGTTTGTTGTCCTCTTCTCCCTCTCTGCCTACGGTTTACCGGGCAGTTCTATTTGACGATATA